TTTATTATTAATCTTTGACTGTAAGTCAGCAGGTAGGCTGTGTGTTGAGCATTAAATAACCTATTAATTAGGAAACTCGAATTGCATGCTCACAGCATGATACAGTGATGTAAAAATAACCACAACCATTTATCATTTTTGGAAATGAAAATATTTCTGTTTAAATTTCAATTTTATTAATTAACAAATTTCAAACCAATTTGCAAATCATTTCAAGCCAGTGCAGTAAAGAAAAAAAAAAGACTCATCACAAAGTTTTACCCTTTGATTTTGATCTCTTCCTTCCCCAAAAATTCAGTTTACCAAAGTTGAGAAACAGGACGTTTAGATTTGTTTCATGGTGATTTGTACTGAACTGACTGAACCATCAGGAAATTTTTTCTGATGCAGATTTACATAATTATTACACTATTTACGTAAGTTTACAGCAGGCCCATAATATTATGCAAATAAGCATACAAAAATTATACAATTATTACATTGAGTGTAAATATTACATAAATATTGCAACTTTACATATTAAAATTTATGGACATAATATTGCGGCGGGGAAAATTTCCTGATGACTGAATCTGAGTCTTCTTTACAACGAATTATTTCCCATGCAACCAAACATTTCAAAATTGGGTAAAGTCATTAGATTAGGGAAACATACAAAAAAAAAAGGGGAAATATTACACATAATATAAAAAATCTTAAAATAATTTTTTTAGAATAATGTAAATGAGTAAGCATGGTGGACATTTGAAATGTTGCACTAATTTTTTATGCATGTGTAATTTAAAGTAAAAAACCTATTAAAGTGGGGGTATATTGATATGCAACACCTATTATAACTTTATGGATATATTTTTTTGACACTTTTTTAACCTAATTCCGGCTGTATCTGCAATTTTGACATACTTAGTAATAGAATTTCCAGTATGGTATTATGTGGCAGATGTCTAGTTTACAATGAAATTAGAGTAGGCTCCAAAGTATAGAAAAATTACAAAATCAAGTAAAAATAAAGCAGAAGGGTTGACGAACTTGTTATCTTTTAAAACATTTTCAAGGTATAACTGTGAAAAATTCCAAATGTGCACTTTGTAAAGAAACTAAATCTGATTCAAGACCACCATTACCTTCAAGAAAGCTATCAAATACTCCTTCAATCTCTAGTGCCAGTTCAAATAGTAATGATTCATTAGCACCACAAACACCACCAAGACCATTTTCATCAACAAACTCAAGTACTACTTCATTTGTACGTTTTCAAGCTTTTTTTGAATTCTTTTATTAACAAAATTGATTAAATTGATTTATATTATTCAAAAATTAAGACAAAATCAGTAGCTGAAAATCATACAGATAATTCTGAAAAGGCAAAGATAACAACACAAGATCAATCAGTAAAAGTTGTACAACAAGGAATATCTAATAACTTTTCTCAACTTAAAGGTATCATAATTTTGGTCTTTAGTTATAGTAACTTAAATTGATAATAAAATAATGCTATTTGAATATTTTGAATTTATAAATAGGGGAATTTGAAAAATCTCCATATGGTAATAAGAAAATTTCTGGTAAAGACCAATTTTTTTAAATTTATTTATTTCATAACACTGTAAAGAATGAAAATGGTTTAATTAATAACTTGGAAAAAAACTTTACTGCAGCTATAAAATCCTCACAATCACCACCACCATTGCCCTCAAGAAAAAATCTTGGATTAAGTACTGATTCAGAAATCAAAATTCCACATAGACCACTTCAATACAGTGGTGTGTATTTATTTAAATTTTATTTAGGAAAATAACCAAAATTTCTAATGTATTATACAATTAATTGGAAAAGTAAATTAACAAAAGGTATTCCATCAGATGCAAAAAAACGATATGAACTAGTTTTTGATTCTAATAAAGAAGAAGATCTTATTGATGGTAATTTTATTATTGACTAATAATTATGTTAAATATATAATTTTGTGCAAATACTGATGTCTTTATTTATTAGCTGCTGTAGTTAGAGAAATATATATAAGGAGCAGATTAAACAACAAGACTTTATATAAGATATGGTAATAGAATTAAGTTTAAATACACATTATATTATCTATCTATTTTAAACTAATGCTTGTTTGGATTTTTATTTAAGGGATCTTTTGGATACTGATAAAGATGGATATTTAAATAGAAACGAGTTTTGTATAGGAATGTTTTTGATTGACAAAAGACTTGAAGGAGACCCAGTTCCTGATAAGTTGCCAAAAGAACTATTAGTATGATACAAAATTTAGAAATTGGTGAATTACTTGAGCCATTTTCTTTTTCCTGTTTGAAATAGTTTTTAATTTGTTTGTACAAATAAATAATAAACATTATTAGAGTTTCTCATAAATGTATTTTTAATAATAAATTTAGTAGTGGATTTATTCAAATAAATTATTGAATATAGCTTTTTTTTCGATGTAAATCCAATTAATTACATGAAATCTTCACTGATTCTAAACTACCTTTCATTCTTTCTCTTT